ATGTAAGAGATTGTGAAAATGTGCAGCAATGCATTGCTTAAAATAAAGTTGAGCAAAGTAAAGGATGCCCTTTCACGCATTTGCTTATATTAAAGGTCTCAAATATGAGTAAAAACAACTTATGTTATTTTTCATTAATTTTAGCTAATTGCAGGCATCTTTTTGTTGCAAAGCTTCTTTAATTTCCAACCAACCCTCGTATGTAGCCTTGCTGTAAGCGCATAAATAACCAACCACGCCGCTAAATTCTTGCATATTCATAACTAAAAAACACCCGCTTTTTATTCACTTTAATTGAGATGTCTGCTTTATGTCGCTTCATGCCATTAACGCTAATAAATTAATATAAAAAAGCTTTTTAGCTTTCACAGCGCCGCCAGCACAGTTTTTCGCGTCCAACCACCTGCAAAAATCGGGTCAAAGCCGCGCTGAAACTGTGCTGCAAACAAGTATGAACTGGTGACAGCAACAACAATAACAATTACAGTTTTTATAAACAATTAAATGCTGAAAATACTGACCGGTGTCCTTTTTAATGCAAATAAACAGCCCAAAGAAAAATCCGAGCTTAGCCGGTAGGAAGTAAACGAAGCGATGCCACTATTATCGTACATATTTATGTATATAGTGTGCATTAAAGAAAGCATCTACAAATTATTTTAATTGAAGCAATTGATTTTGATAACACATCGATAAAGCGGCACCACCGACACACACACACACACACATATGCGCAGAGCGATGCGAACATGCACTTGAACGAGCGTTTCATGTCAGAGTACCATTTACAAATTGCACAAGTTTTGTTGTTGTTGTTAACCATGCTGAAATGTGACAAGATAATTTGTAAACGCTTTCAACTGCGCTGTGTAGCAATCGAGGCGAGGCATAATTGCTGTTTGCTTCAAATGTTTAAGAGCAACAGTTGCAAAGTATTCATTAAATGTATGCTAATAGAAAAGTGAGCAGTAACAGGGTGTTCCAAAATGAATAATAAATATAATATAACCAGAAATGCTTATCAAAGCTGCTTTTGAAGCCTGAAGTGTAAACTGAGTACAACTTCACTACTGACATAACTGTACATTATCGAAAATTTACTACTTTTTCGAAGTTAATATTGTCTTAACGCAAAGTTGTAGTTTTTTTCCCAATATAGTGTGTAGAAAAATTCGAGTCCTAACCGTGGCATCACAGTTTTCAATAAAGAATACCAATTCATTTCAAAATTTATCGACATAATGATTAGTTATCGGTATTTTTTCTACTTATAGCTTCAATATATTGTTTTAACTTGATGTTTTCAATATTATTTTATATTAGATATTTGGGAAATTTTATACTTTTATGACTATCGAGCTTTTTTTTGTTATCAAGGAAGGGCTTTAACTATATAGGTTTAATATTATATATTATATTATAATATTATAATTTTTTTTTATACTTATCT